CATCGCTTCTAGTAACAAGTGCCTTACTAGTAGTAACAAGGACGCTAGATGTACTTGTAGCATACACTCAAATGCAGCTACATAAATCTCAATGCAAGCTGCAAATATACTTGTAGTACTGTAGTATACATTAAAAAGTAGTTGTATAAGTCTCAAAAGTATTGATGCAGATCTGTAGCGCAAACACTTTCGAAGAACCCTTCGCACCGCTCCCGAGAAAGTAATCAATTCTTGAAATATGTTGGATTCAATATACACAAACATATACATATCATTACATATTTGTTTAACTTTATAACAAGGATTCTTTTTATCATGGAGTCAGGATTTCTATCTTTGCACAGTCGAGAACTTTGCCCATCTGTGCCACTGAAAAACCTGCTTGTCGGACTAAAGTCGCGATCCATCTTTCCATCGCGTGTTCTGCTTTGCCAGAGCTTCCGGTTCGATAACCTCGCGTCATCTTCTTCATAAGCAGTGGTACCGAGTCGTGGAACCATTTCTCGCTGAGGAAGGTTCCGGAGCCACGGATCCAAAAGAACGTGCCAGGAATCATGCTCCAGTTCTGCTTCGCCAGCTCAAAGAAAGGTGCGCCCTTCTTTTTCATCTGTCGCCATGTCCACCTCATTGACCCCAACTCAACAGAATGAAACAAGAGTCGTTTTCCCACGTCGCCTGGCCAACACTGGATGAATTGGCAAAAGGCCGCGGTGAACGTGGCATTGGCACCCACATAGACGAGGTCCTTCGGTCCAAGAATGCCCACCGGAGCCGACCGGTCCGCGGCTAAGGTCTGAATGGCTTCCCGTGCCACACAGGGCGAGCCGCACAAGTGTTCCGTCATGTGGCGTCTCCAATGGATGTGCGACTTGCTATGAATTTTCAGAACTGCAGAATAGTGTTCCACACTAGGAAGGCTCGTGTCCAGAAGCTGCTGAAACCATTGCCCGATATCAGCTCCCAAATTCTTCACTGCTCTCACCTCAACCCTACCAACGCCTTCCAACGCAGACAAATTGTTTTTGTAAAATCTCATGTCGATGTTCGGATTGTCGTCCACTGCGCTGACAAAAACATCCACTTCTCCTTCACTATCATGTTGTGCACTTGCTACATTGAAAATGCAACTGAACAGGTCTTCCCAAATGCTTGGGTCAGCGTTGCCCATTTGGGCATAGATCGCCACTCTGAGAGAAGCAACTTGACTCGGATGTCTCGGATCAACAGTCCGTACGCTTGACAGTATGGCCATGTACAGCAAAATCAAAGCGACAGCTGTGACGGCGGATAGTATCAAGAAGTGTTTCCAGCGAACATAGCCACGGAATAGGCCACATTGGCACATGAGCGACGCGCAAAACTCTTATGTGTTGCAGCGCACACTCTTCCCAACGTTATCGTTTTTCTGCGAACCTTATCGTTCCTGAGGGTTTGGACACACCTAACAACATGTACTAACACCTTATTGTTTTTTCTGTGAACCTTATCATCGTTCCTGAAGGTGTCCATCACTTTACTTACTTAGTCTTCACTGTAGTGATGCTGCCTTTATCGGAGGTTTTGGCAGTTGCTTACATCTGCACGGCAGCTACAGCTATGTTTGGGCCTCAAAGCAGCTCTGAACATGGATGATTGTAGATTAAATTGGAAAGGTTTGCCCTCCCTAGCTGCCAAAATTTGAGAACACTGTGCAGAGTTCCAAAAGTTCCAGTCCCCAGTATGCCGCAGAGTGTTTCCCTTTGCAGAAAGGCATAGATAAATTTCATGTGTGGAGGAAAAAGAGGTTGTGCCCATGATTAGCATCAGCTCTACTGGCCTGGCAATAGCTACCTGGCGTTTTTCGTCCGCCGGCACCCACAAAAAATGGTCACCCGTATGACGATCCGGACAAAGGCCGTACACGCCCCAAAAAATGGAACCAAAAAATGGCATCATGAAATTGATTGAATTTGCATATTGGAGTGTTAGCCAGGTTTGTCGCCACCCAGGTTTCCTGGCTTAATCGATAATCTAAAGATGTTTTGATGCGCTGAAGCTTCATTCTGAGAAGGACAGTGTGCAGTCTCAGTTGATTTCTTAAAAATAAAAAAACATATAAAAACAGCAGCTTCCAAAGGTTTACGCGCTTGTTGTTTTTAGATCACTATGCTGATGCCCAAGCAATGAATGTGACCTTGTGACCTGCAGCTTGCGGGGACAAGGCAAGGGATTGATCCGTGAACTGGGACGTGTGCGTGAACTCTTAAGAGAGTCGCTTTGGCCACTTCTTGATTGTATTTCTGGCAGATTGGGACATCCATGTTCCGTCCACATTATATACACGTACGCTGCATGTGTTTGTTTGTTAGCTTCGGGCTCCAATTTGAACCTTGGTTGACTTGCTGTCGCTCACTCTTCGTTGACATGAGCAAGGAGCGTGAAGCCTGCGCTGACCTTTCAGGTGTGGCTTGCGAGTGGTTCCAGAGTGAGGCCATGTTGAACCAATGGTCGGCGACCCTGAATGTGCTGTCGGCGACCCGGCCGCCGAAGAGTCTAGTTGATCACTTGTCGTTTTACCCCCGTTGTTTCGTTCGGTTTCCTTCTAAACCCCGTCTAAGGACGACCTAAAAATCGGGCAAGCAAGGCTTGGGAGGCTTTGGTCAAAACCCCAAAGGCAACTGCAGATCCCAGTTCATCCCATTAAAAGGAGGCATCGCCACGGCAAGACCTGAGGTCTTGACTGGTCCGTGGCCGTGCGCGGGGAAAGGGGAGGCAGCTGGGAAACATGAAGAACGCATGCACACCACTGGTTGTAAACACTTATCAAAGAACCCGAAAACCATCATGACCCCCCAAAAGGTCCAGATACCGTACGCCCCAAAAAAGATGGTCAGACTTGCATTCACAGATGGTCGGACTCGCAGTCCGCATCACCCTTTTTCCAGGCCCTGAGGGTGCAACTCACGCACTGCTCTTCATGCGTCTTTACCAAACAAAGAGCGGAATGCGTCGCAAGTTCCATCGAAGAATCTCCAGGTATGCTTTCCCAAACCTTGTATCCGGTTCCAGTACTGCTTGCTCATTCCACTCATTCCATGCAGTGATCACAAACAGGTTTGTGCCAATCTGGCGGCTCTGGAACGTGGCCATCTTTTGGAATGTCCTCTGCAAGCTGACATTGAAGACCTCAGGGGATCGCAGAATGGGTTTGGCCGTCGGGTCGCGCGGTCTCCGGTCAAAGCCTGTGAAAGCACCCCAGTATTGGACATGTGCTGCTCTTGTACGCAGCGGCAGATCGAAAGTGCTGCTCGCATCGCCTGCACCCCAAAGGTTCCAGGCTGCAAAGAGCTGTGGCCAAAAATGAAGACTTGCAGAAATCTCACTTTCATTTGCAATCACCTGCTGTCGGTCCACATTGTAGAAATTCCCGATGGTTTGTACCAAGTGCAAATCATGAAACCCTTCTTGCCTCGCCAACTGGCGCCAGAAAGCAAACATTCTTCCAGCCACGTGCTTCATATGACCAAGTCGGTATATGGCAAACACTGGGGCTCCATTGATTCGCAAGTATTTCGGATGCTTGAAGAAGGAAACCAAATACTGGAAATGCTGTCTCCACTCTTGCTCGTCACCATACGTCTGTGCGAGCAACACGTCCTCCAATCCTGTCCATCGACGTGTCCAAGGCTCATTGGCCCAGGAAAAAAAGAAAGGCAAATCTGGCTGCCCATCTCTCAACATCAGCTCTGGAATCTTTTGCATGACCAAGTGATTCTCAGGAGCTCCTTGTCCGGAAAACCAATAGTGGTAATACATGAAACCGGACACGTCATGGTCTCGAGCCATCTGAGCTTGCTGCCTTCGGATCTCGTAATTTGTTAAATCGTAGTAGCCTAAACCTCCATCTGCGATGCCCAGTGGCTGTCTGAATGGAACGGTAGGACTGCTTGTGTTCCCAGGGTCAAGATCTTTCAGCAAAGTCCATTCTGTGAAGTTTTCTCCCCAAAAGCGGTCATTTTCAGGAAACTTGTGGAATTGAGGAAAATAAATTGCAAATACAATTGGCGCAGGCTGCACGTCTTTTACAATGCCCCCTTCACTCTTGATAAGAGAAGGCAGCCAACTGTTCAGGTGCGCATGCGGAAAATCAATCTCCTTGTCCAAAGACAGAAGCACTTGCAAACCCAAAAAATTGATCCAAAATGAATCCGCTGCCACCAACAAATCTTCTTTCTTGACCTTCCCGGTTGACTGGAGTCGTGCCCCGAGTGTCGACATATTGATGTTCGAAATGTTGTGGGCAATGTGCGGAAACACCTGCAGGGTCACTCCATGTCAAGACTGCTTACCTACTAGCAAGGGCCTCCAAGGTAGAAGCGATGGCCTCGAACCTGCTACTACGATCACGTAGAAGCGAGGGCCCCCAACCTGCTAGCGATGGCCTCCAACCTACTAGCAATTGCCTCCAACCTACTACGATAACGTAGAAGCGAGGGCCTCCAAGCTACTAGCGATGGCCTCCAACGTAGAAGCAAGGGGCCATTTCCAGATCAGAAAAGGATTCCGCAAAATAAGGTGTTCATTCCGCATGCCATGTGCATCTTCTTCGTGAATTCATTCGCCCTGCCTGACTCGTTGCCTCGAAAGCAAACACCATTCCCATCGGTGCGACCAGCTCTGGTTTTGGGTCGCTCATCGAAGCCAGAATGGATTCCACATGGCTGCGCGAACCACATAACGCTTGCAGAACCCGTTCTTGCCAAATCATGTCGTCGCTGACATTGATATTCAAGACTTTATGGTATTTGTGGCCCCTCTGGTGCAGCTGGCGAAGAAAACTTTGTCCATCATCCAGGTGCCAATCGGCCAACGCTTCACCGAACGCTGCACCGAACGCCTCGCTTCGAGGTCCGAAGATGTGAAGGTCAGCAGGAGCCACGTCCCGGACATTGGAGACACAGGTCAACAGGTCTGAGAGGTCGGGGGACGCGGTGGAAAGACCTCCGAAGTGTAGAAACACGGCCAGGGAGCTGCGAGGAGAAGCGTCCGACCTGGCGGACCTGATATTCCACGTACTTCGCTGCCAAAAGGCTGGCACCAAAAACGAAAGGCATATGATCACCAAAACCGACAGGCATTGGATCCTGCGAAAAGACAACATCGGAGTCACTGCGCCGTGACTGTTTGGCGTCGTGATTTTCGTGCGTTTCAGGACCAACAACCTTGAAGCCAGTTTGTTTTACTATGCAATTCTTACTGAAGCCATGGCAGTTCTTCTGGCAAAATGTGTTGGCAAAACGTGGCACATGTCTTTTGCCGTTTCCAAGTTGAGGTGTTCGTCCTTTCATCGTCGGGCTGCCTGACCTTCCTCTGAGCCTTCAACTGCGGAGACCAAAAAGGAGTCTCTGGACGGCTAAAGGGAAACAAGAAAAACACATCGCCAGGGTCTTCTGGAATGAGGTGTTGTGACAAGATATGGGAAGGAAGTGTCCCCACTAGTGTGTTAAGCATGTATCATGGCCAGGTTCCCGCGTCTGCAGCTGCCCGCCTATTTATCAGTGCCTTTGTATATGCGCAAAGGCAACCCTTAGCAAACGATGAAAGAATGGCGCGCACTGAATTACTCTACAAATTTTGGTCCACCATTGTTGCCACTGGCTCAAAAGACTGTGCCAAAACGCGTTTCCCAACATTCTCAGCACTTTCCCAAACGATGTGACAAGCTGGGTCTCCATGCTGGTTGTTATGTTGTAGTTGTTACGGCGGCAGAACAAAAACTACAGCCGGGTGTGTCCCGTCAAGGTGATGAATAGCACGTACTTCTTCGAGTGAAGGCAGAGCAGGTGAACCTCTCGTCACTTCCCCACGAAACGAAAGCCCTCTTCACTGGCAAGCATTATGACCACGAACCTTCGGTAGAGGTAATCTAGGGGTGTTCACAACCAGTATCACTTGCGGTTGACCAATTGCTTTCTCGCGAAGCTTTCCTTAGGATCTTTTCCCTATGCCTGCTTTAAGCAAGGCTATTTCAACTGGCAAGTCAAACTAGATTAATTTCCAACTGGCGAGGAGCTATTGTCCACTTGGCTAGTGTTCTCAAGCACTGATGCAGTCAAATGGGTCTCATTATCCTCAAGCGCTGCAGGCCTGGTTGAATTCTTCACGTTTGCGGTGTTGATCGAAAGCTCAGTAGCAACTGTGAACGTTGTAGCAACCAATGTAGGCATGACTCTTTCTAGGCCAAGTGCTGTATTGCACCCAAAGTCATTGCAGCCACTTTTATACGGTCCCATCACGTCCAAGAGTGTCGGGGCGTAGTTCAGAAGTTTCTCTTCCCAGATCTTCAAGCCTGCTCTGACCCAGTAGAAGGATCCGGCCACAATTGTCCAAGTGTCTTGAGGTGGAAGACCAGCTGGACTGATTAATGACCAAGCGGTTCTCATTTGAACAGTCGCCACTTCAGAGAAAGCATGAATCCCAAGGCCAAACACTCCAAGGCCTTTGCGCCCAACCTTTGTCCAAGTAAAACTACTAGGACCAATCATGCCGATGGTCGGGTCGCTGAACTTCTCGATGATCTTCCTCACAAGTTGGGTGCTTCCGCAAACCTCTCGAACCATCCTTTCCCTCCAAGGTTTGTCTCGCTTGGTGTGCAGTTTCAAGATGAGATCATGGTCGAAGGAAAGTTCTTTTGCAAGAAGAAGTTGGTGCAGAAACAGTCCAATGTCTGCACCTTTATTGTCCGCCCTTGAGGTCACAACAAAGCGAAGTGCTGGCAAGGATTCCTTGACAATTCTTTTGACCATATAAAATAACTGCTCAAGAGGCTGAGTGGTGATCAGAAAAATATCCACAGTGCCATTTCCAGCCACGGTCAACGTGTTGAAAATACATTGTCGCAACTGGTGAAATCGGCTTGGGTCATGCATCTGGATGAAAATGCCAATTCGAGGCCCATCAGCAAGCCAATTCGCTAACTTTGGGGCTTTGAAAATGTCCAGCAAATGCGACATTCGGGTCTGAACCACTGGACCGGCGAACCTCGCCTCTACCGCGACCCGACCTCTCTTTCCAATAGCCGACAAGTCCTTTGCGCTCAATCGGAGGATGGTTTCCAAAGAAGTTTCAAGAGCACCTTCTGTCAAGTCGGGCAAGGCAAAGCTCCCATCAAGTGAGTTCCTCAAGGTTTGGTCCAAAAAAAGGGCCCACGAACGCAAATGCAAGTGTTTTTTGAATACTCCAGCCATTCTTGTAGCACACTCCTGCGGGGCACTACTTTTTGACATTGTTCAAAAACTGCGTCTGATTTTGATCAGCCCAGCGTGAAGTGTAGGTTGACTATCCTGTTCCCTTGTAGATGGCGGCAGCGCGCTTCCCTTTTCCACTGTATCTACGGGAGTCTTGAGCCAAATATTGGCATATCACGCTGTACTGTTCTATACTAGTATATATACTATGCTTGTCGCTCCACTGCTATTGACACCCCCCATGTGCCCAAAGCTTTCAGCATTGGTCACACCTATTGAAAAGTCAAGGGTAATGTACTGTACAGCAGGTTGCTATGGTTGCCGCGAGATCCATAAAGAAAATGGTATCATACTACACATCCCTGCTAAAACTAAGCGGACTTTTACATACAAAGCGTGGAATCCAACCTATTGGAAATACAAGTTAATTGTGAAGAACGACAGCTGGAGAAGCCACTCTCAGAATCTCTCTCAGTAGATCTTCGTCATGAGATAGACCGAGCTCATGTGACTCTCTTAACTGTAAGACGTTCACTTGCAGATACTCTTACGACCATTCAAGGATCAAACGTAGTACGCTGACCCTGTTTCTTGCGTCCGGTATCTTCTCCCTAGTTTTGGTCATATTCTTCCCAATTGTCATTGTTCTGATCTACGTTGCTCCAATCTTGGTCATCCCACTTGCCCCAGTCTCGATGACCTTCTCTAATGCGAGGGTTGTTCCATTCGTCATCTCGGAACGTTGTTCCATAGGCACGCCAGCTGCGATTGTTCCGTTCAATCCTTCGCCAAGTGGCACCTTGACCTTTGGAGCTCTTTCCACCATCTCTTCCTTTGGAACCGTATGCCTTGCCACCTTCTTTTCCTCTTCCCTTTTGATATGGTTGTTGTCGTTCTCTTGCTCTGCTCTGGTGACTTGACGATGGTTCTTCTTCTTCTGTTCTTCTGCTTGAGGCTGTCTATGTTCGGGTGAAAAGGGTGGATAGGCTGTTCGTCTCCTGCCAGGTATCACATTTGCTGTCAAAAGCCCTGATATCTTTGTGTTTCGTCCTCTCCAACAAAATGCCTTGCGCCAAAGGTGGCAACGTGACCTTACAAGAAGAATTACCCGGCCCCACTTGTCTTTGGGTCTCGAGTGCACAATGTCCAAGGGACTCGGGCACCTGTGTGCGTCAGTATCACCAAGGTCGTCTGTGAAATACGAATATGATGACGCATGATATATCGCACTCACGCACTTCCTGACCATCACTGACACTGACATTGCAGCATGCGTGGCTTTTCTGCTATCTTCAACTATTGCCCGGGCAGTACCCGGCTTTGAAAGATGCAGGTGTGTATCCAAACGCAATAGCTTGTAGCGCGAATCTTCCCATAGTCCCTTTTCCTCGAAACATATGCCAGGTTCTTCGAGTCTGCAAAAGCTTGCATTTGCTCCGCTGTTGGATCCAAAGGCATATCGTCTTGATCAAATCCATTGAACACTCCTTTGGTGAAAACTGACATGACGTCACGTCTCTTCCTCATGAAGTTTTGCTTGAAATCTGCGATGCCCGTTAGATGATAGGACTTGTACATAGGAGCAATCAATTGCGACACGCAGCGAACAACATATCTGTCCATGAGACCTGATGAACCTGTTTCCGTGTCTTGGCAACCGGCTTCGTCTTGTAGATGGAATGGGACTGACTCAGGGTATCTGCACCATTTTGGAAGTTCATGGTCGGCAAGATTTGCTTCTCGGTCTAACGATCTTGGCCCGTTGCCCTCATAATCTCCTTCGTTAGTTCTGCTTTCTTTTGATTTCTCTCCCTGACCTTCCATCTCGACTTCTTCAATCACCTTGTCAGACGACTTTGGGAATTCGGCAGTGCTTCTGAAAACCGCATCGACGTCATCGATCACCTCTTCGATCTCAGGCGCTAGGGCCGCTAGGGATTCTCTGTCCTAGTCTACCTCATCTTCAGCAAAAGTAGGGGTGTAGACATCGTCTTTGCTTTGATCCCTTTGCGCTGCTGAGTTCGCCATGATCTCCTCGAGGAATTGCAAGCTAACCTCCTCATCCTCATCGGCACTGACAATCTGAGACTGAAGTACAGTCTTGATTTCTTCCATCTTTCCTTCATCAATGATGTCCTGCGCTTCTTCTTCGGCGTTCTTGAGTTGCTCGGTGTCATCGTCGACCGCGATCACTGGTTCTTCATTGTCTATCTATGGTGGTCGTCCTGGAGACGGTGTTCTTGATTCCACAACGTGTTTGGTGTCACATTCATGCATGCGGGACAGAGGACGTTGCCATCAGCGTTGCTGAAACCTTCACAAGTTCGGGCGATGATATCATTCCAAGGTTCCTTCTTTGTCTTCCTTGTGTCTCCATCATTGATGATCTCATCTAGCTTGCGAATGTTGTCATCACGCCTCATGCTCCCTGCAATAGCTTCTTTCGCTCTCTCCATGATTTGCTCTTTGGTTGCAATCTTGGTCGGAAAGCTTGCTGCCGTGATCAGGCGGTTAGTAACCTCTTTCGTCAACAACCTTCTCCATTCGCCAATTGGGTCTCTGTACCATCGCGTTGTCCCACGAAACTAACTTCTTTGAACATGACGACGTAAGAACTCTCTGCAAGTCGGGCTCCGAGGTTCTTCAACAAATTACATACAAAGCGACCGGGGCATCATCCGTCGGGATCTTTGATCTCAACACTGTGTTCACGCGTTGATCCCACGGAGCGAAGTGATTGAAGAAAGAACTTCCCCTAGTCCCTTCCACACCACCAGGTAGAATGCCAAGCTTCACGATAGATGATATCCTCCGAGGGATGTCACACGAAAGCTTCCTCCAAGTTGGATGGGAAGGGGGTCTGTGTGATGTAAGGTGCGGGTCAAGGGTGACATCGTCCTCATTCCTGACGGATTGGCGCGAGTTGAGGTTGCGTGATGACACTGCCCTCATAGCTACTGGAAATAGCCATCTGTCGTGCTCCTTGTAGTACCTTAGATCATTCGGCACCTTCTATATAGTCCTCCTCCCATTACATTCTCTGGTCCTCCACTTGTGACATCATTCACAGAAATGCGGACAGCGGCAATTTGGAATCTGACACGGTTCTGAAGCTTCTTCGAATACCACATTGCCTGGCAACCTCAGCGGTACCCCGTCGTCAACGTCAACACTTCATTCATATGCCCTTGTTGTTCTGCATCTCTAATAATGCGATTGCTGTTGTCGTTGAAGATATGGCCATACATGAGTACATCATTGATGCTCACCAATCCTCCTTCATTGCATCGAAGAATTTCATGATGTCTTCCAGTGGAACCTACCATGCTTGCTTTCCGCGTCTGATGTCTCAGGACTGAGCTTTCTGCTGACGCCGTCGATGGTAGCATATTCACTCGTGTCCTTGTCGATGAAATGATGTTCTAGGTATCCATCTCAATGTTGCCTCTGTCACAGTCTAGCCAAATCTGCTGGTATGCATGTTTGTGTTCCTGAAGTGGATCATTTCTCAGTTCCGTCACCTTCGGTAGCTTGGCGCCTGCCGATTGGGCTCTGGTCACAATTGCTTCAAGCGCTCTCTTGCCAGGTGGTCCGGACATGTCCACTCTTCTGTTGATGAGCTTGAAAGCGCCTCCTTCCAGTTCATCTGCAATTGTACTAAGGTTTATTGGTGAGTTGAACCTTGCGACGATTGTGGCATTGCCAAATGAACGTTTCATGGATTCGACCGCTTTCTCATACTCTTCATTGCTGGTTGGTGATTTTGACTTAGATTGCTTTGCAGCTGGAGGTGTCAGTGACCCTCCACCGAGTTGAGCTGTTTCTTCCGGCAGTTTGACATCCTCCATCTCTACATCCTCGTCATCATCATCATCATCATCATCATCATCATCTTTTGTTGTCTTTGCTCTTTTCTTCTCCCTCTCTGCCTGGCTTCTTTCCCTTGATGACCTCCTCGTCGTGCTCGGTGAAGTTGACTCGCAGGATTCCTTCCATGTGTTTGAAGCTTTCAACGATGCTCTCCAATTGCTTGGTGAAGTTCTGAAGTTCTCGTTGTTGCACTTTTCCAGCGAGTGTTCATCTGAGCCAAAACATAGACAGATCTTCTTCTCCTGAGCTCTCTTCTTTACCCTTCGGATATTGTCATAGGTCTGCTTCCATGGCTCCTTCTCTTTGGCCGAGAAGGGTCCTGAATATGGCGGGTTTGTCCAAGTTGCCTGCCTTGTAGTCCATAGGATCTACTTCGGGGGACATGGGTTGCGCGGGCAAGTGTCCAGGTTCTGCTGAAGTAGGCTGTTCCTCCTCCTTCATGCGCACATCGTCCCCATGTTCTGTTTCCCCGTCTGGCGGCGGTGCCTCTATGGGCTTCATCCCGCTGAAGCATTTCTGGGTTTGGGTATGTTCTCATCATCCTCTCTATCTCACTTCTTTCTTCTGGTGATGGGTAACTGCACGGAGATTTGTTTCTCTTCGTATTGTCGTTGATATTCCTCCGGCTTCCTGCATAGAAAGAGAGAAAGGATAGTTCAATGCCTCGTCGGCGTTCATCAAATAATACCTTTCCAATCTTTGAACAGGTTGCGTTGAAAGATGCTTGCCAATTCGAAGACTCCCAACCAGAAGTCAACGATGTCTCCTGCGGGTTCCGAGTTGGTCACCACATCCTTGTTGTTGAGCATGAAGACGGCTTGATATTCCTCTGGGGTGAGGAGATATTGCACGTAGTCATCGTACGCTACATTGCCATAGTCCATGTAGGCTCTGAAACCGTACTCTCCCGTACAATCAACAGTGCTCCTCGATCTTCTTTGCAAAAGGCACTCACAATCAACCGGCGCTCTGACGCCTTGATGATGAGATGTATTCTTGAGCGTTCCATGGACCCAAGGTACAGGTCTCTTAGCCAGTAACAATGCTCCCTCGATCATGAAC